TATATTATGACCTTTCTATATGCAAAAATTGCTGGCATTTTTTTTTTTTTTGACAAAAGGCATGCCTAATAACTGTCATGATCAAAGTGGCATAAAGTATACTTTTTGTTCGTATTTTTATTAGGTTGTATGACTGGTCAGATTCTAAGAGTCTAAAAATAACAGGAAAGGCAATTCTCCTTGAAATCTTTTGGTCAGGAAGTGAAACCTCTGGGCTTTTGACCAAACCAGTAAATATGCTTTTGGAATGGACTATATATTCTCACAGGGAAAAATGCAAGTCTAATGATGTAAGTAGGATTAATTTACAGATGAGTCATGGTCTATGGAAAAAGTGCTTTGAATTTTATACCATTTCTTCTTCCCTTTGTTCTTTGAATTACTTGAAAAAAGAAAAAAATTAAAATGTACCCAAATATGTCATTGTTCTCTGAATTTAGTTTTAAGGTAAAAGGTCCTTGAAGACTAGTTGCTTTACCGCCTCACATTTGGATGCAATAGCTAGGTACAGTTATATATGATCATTATTGCTAATAAATCTCTAGTTACTTAACCATTCTAGATTTTTTACTTTTGTACCTTTTGATTTATAAGGAACTTATGATTAAAAAAATTGAATCAATCCTTATGTTTGTAAGGGATACTACTAATAAAAAATTTTGTTTGTTTTGAAAACTACCTCTACCTTTCTGCATGTTAAGAATTATTATCTGAAATATTTCTTTATAAGTAGATTTTGCCTGTCATTAGAAATGTTAACATGATGATTTTAGTGTATCATCTATCTGAAGGGTAATTGGGAAAATTAAATACAGTAAAACATGTAAAGCGCATAGCAACGCAGTACATTTTGGGTGCATAATAAACATTAGTCACCTTCCCTTTCTCCTTTTCAAAATGATCTGGGCTTTTATTGTCTACTTTTCTTCTGTTCTATGATTAATTTCTGCTCTTCTCTTTTATTTATTTTTTGTTTTTTATGAGACAGAGTCTTGCTCTGTTGCCTGGGTTAGAGTGCCGTGGCGTCAGCCTAGCTCACAGCAACCTCAAACTCCTGGGCTCGAGCGATCCTTCTGCCTCAGCCTCCCAAGTAGCTGGGACTACAGGCATGTGCCACCATGCCTGGCTAATTTTTTCTATATATTTTTAGTTGTCTGATTAATTTTTTTCTAATTTTAGTAGAGACGGGGTCTCGCTGTTGCTCAGGCTGGTCTCGAACTCCTGAGCTCAAACAATCCACCCGCCTCGGCCTCCCAGAGAGCTAGGATTACAGGCGTGAGCCACCGCGCCCGGCCTGCTCTTCTCTTTTAAATTCTTATATTAATACTTTCTCTTCTACCTTCTTGAATGTTTGGATCTTTTTTCCTAATAAATGCACTAAATATTAATTACCTTTGGAGTACAATTTGAGATTCATTCCACAGGTTTGATACTTCAGGGTTCTCTTACTGTCATTTTCAAAGTGATTTTTACTGTCAGTTTTGATATCCCCTTTGATCCAAAGGATATTTTAAAAGTATGTTTTAAAATTTCTAAACGGATAAGTTTTTGTTTTTGTTAATAGGTTTTGTTTGTTTGGCTCTGCTTTTTTTTTGTTAATTTCTAATAAGGAATTACAGTTAAAGAATATACCCTATATGATTTCTGCTTTCTAAAATTCATCAAACTTTTCTTTTTGGACCCTTATAAGATTAGGGGCCAGAATGTGTTTATTTTGTTACAGTGTTGTAACAATATAGAAAGTTGTTTATAGTGTTCTGTAATACCTATTAGATCGAACTTTATAATTGTTTTAATTAACTCTTCAGAATCTACTTTGTGGATTCGGTCATGTAACAGTTTCTAGTTTATATATGTTAATGTTCTTTTATTATTCATAATCCACATCTCATAACTTCTAGTTATGATGCCATAACTGCTAATTAGGTAATATTTTCTTCAGGGGCAGTAAATATAGTAGTTTGGGGTAGAGAGCTCTGATATCAAACTACCATAAAGTCTGTTCTATCCTAAGAAAAATTCTTACGTAATTTGTCTTCAAATACTTCCTCAAATCCATTTCCTCTCCTCTACTTTTTAAATTCCAGTTAAACTTCTGTTATACCTCTTCTCAATATTCTGTGTTTTTTACCTTGTCATCTTTCTTTCTCTATATATATTATTTCTATACTTACAGCATTCTGGATAGAGTCTTTTCATCAAATTTTTAGTTTACCAGTTCACTTTCAGCTGTGTTCAGTATATTTCAGCTGTGTCCAATATAACGTGACCATTGCATTTTAAATTTTTATATTTTTTCCAGTTCTAGACTTTTTTACTTCCAAACTGCTATGACGTTTTTACGGTTTCTAGTACCCTACAAAACTTTCAAGATTTTCTTTTGCCTTTGAATGTGACAATAACATTTATTTTATAGTCTATGTCTATTATTCCATATCTGAAGTATTGTGGGTCTGTTTCTGTTATTGTTTCTGCTGTTTTCCTTCTCTTGTTTTTTATTTTCTCTTGCATCTTTTCTTTTCTCTTGCAAGCTAGTTATCATTCACCATGTGCTATAAATTGTATTTGAAAAATTATGTGCAGGAACAATTTTTATCAAAGACCAGAATATCTTCCTCCAGAGAGAATTTCTGTTTAACTTCTGCCAAGTGCCTGGGTGAACTACCTGTCAAGGACTACCCTAATCTAGTGTTTACATTTGAGGGACCCTAGGTAGTGCAAATGAAGTAAAGGGCTACGTATACATGTAGATTTGCTTCTGATTTACTCTGGGTCTCAGCCTATTAGGGAATAGGCCTTGCTTAGGTCATGACTTTTTTTTTAGCCTCTTTTTCCCTAAGCTCTGAAAACAGCAGTTCCATATCTCAGCTCTTTCCCTAAAATCAACAAAGTAATCAGGACAAAAATCAGCCAGCTTTGAGTGCCTCACTTGGCTTTTACCTTTTCCTAGATCTTTGCCTAGCAATTCCTTGTAACTTACTGTCTCATTTTCAGAAGATGTTTGCATGTCATCCAACATTTTTAGTTGTGGTTTTCTTCTATAAGAGGAATTACCTGGCTTCCATTACCAGAAACAGAAGTTATTGCTGGGTTTAAAAAATTCTGTTTAGCAGGTGTCTAAGGCATGCTTCCAAAAATAAAATTCTTTTGAGGACACTAATATTTTTTCTAAATCAACATTAAAAAGGAAAGATTGCTCCTGAGTATAGCTAGACTATTTTGTGATCAAGTAATTTTATTATGTGACAGTAACCAGTTGACTAGGCACTTTCTCATACATATATCTGATTTTAAAAGTATGATTTTGCAAATGTATAGAAATTGAAAATATTCTGCTGATACAGAATTACTATCTACACCTCATTGCCAATTGAGTATAGTACTTGTAAGCTAAAGCTGATAGTATCTATATAAATTATCATCTGCCTTTTTATTTACTTTTTATGCATTAGAATCATTAAGGATAGAAAATATTCATTATAAAAGATTTCTTTTTTCATTTATTTGATTACATAAATGAAATTGCTCATTTATAACTGAAAACAATAATAAAACTGTTTTCACAATTTTACCATGTCTTCAATGGGTTACCGTAGATAAGAAATTATTCAAGAAGCACTGATGTAAATAGTAACAGATTTATACATATTTAACTTGAAGATTTTTGTTCAAACTTATAAATAAAAGCAACATATTTGTGAAGCAATCTGCAGTAAATTGTAGCATCAGTTGTAAAATGAGAGCTGGTTTTGAATTTTGCAGATTAATATTTTATTTAACATTTGAATTGCTTAAATTCATATAAAACTGCCTTTTTATTGTATTACCTTTCTGTTAGAATTCATTCTTGTACTTAATTAAATCTTTTTGGCAGTTTCCAGTTTCAAGAATTCCATGCATGTTCACAGACATCATTTTCTGTACTGTAAAGCATTTGTTTCTTGATTTGCTGAGTTGAAGCATTCAATTTAAGTCATTAGCTAAACAGAAGTCCTCAGTTTATGCTAATATTGTTTTGTCACAGTGTCAATCAACAAGTATTGCAGAGTGACACAATGGCAATGAATTTCATTGTCATTAATCTGAGAAAGCTTTGGGCTTTCCTTGGCAAAGAGCAGAGGTGGGCTGTGTCAGGGTTATGTAGGAGGTACAAATTTTACTAGTCTCACTTTTCTTTGAGATGTCCTTAAGTGCTATTTAAAGATAATCCTACAATATAGGTAGAAATGGAAGGTAGTTCATATTTAAAGATGAGAAAATTGAGGCTAAAGAGTTTAAGTAACTTATTCAAGGTGTTACAGCTTGTTAGGGCAAAGCCTTGACTAGAGGCCAAGTCTCCACTGTGACACACTTTCTCATTTTTCAAATGCCAGTGTTTAAAACAAGAAGAGGCACAGTATGTGCATTATGTTTGCATCTTTCCAACAGAGTACTTTGTCATGTACTGCAGTGGGATACTGTGAAAATCTCTAACCTGGGAGTAAGAAAGCTAAGATGCTAGTTTGTTCTATGTTACAGATTAGTCAATGTTTAGAAGATCAGCAAGTTTATAAACTGGAGGTTACCTGTACTGGCAGATAATAGAGAACTGTACTGACAGAATGTCTTATAATAGAGTTTAACATATTAGAAAGAAATTCTAAGGTAACTATGTTATATATGCAAATCATGTCTATCTTTTATTTCTTTATTAGTTCCTAGGTTATTCATTCTGTTTTTCCAGCTTTAACAATTATTTCAGTATTCTAAGAAAGCTGTTTCCTTTGATGGTTTATTTGCCATTTTCTTTTTTTGTTTGTTTTTTTAAGAGATGGGGTCTCACTATATTGCCCAGGCTGGAGTGCAGTGGCCATTCACAGGCACTGTGATAGTGTACTATAACCTTGAACTCCTGGCCTGAAGCAATTCTTCCACCTCAGCCTCCCAAGTAGCTGGAACTACAAGCATGTCCCACCTCGCCCAGCTATTTGTCATTTTCTTACTAGTCCATTTATGGAGCATATATATCCATTCTATTGGAAATAATAGCATTGTTAAAGTGGCAGTGAGTATAATCCATAACACAATCTCTTGTTCTTGTGGTTATAGTGAGTATGATAGTTAAGAATGTAGTATAAAAGGATCCAAGAACCTGATCTGAAAATGTTTTTTTATATAAACACTATTATGGATAGTATTAATAGTATGCATGTTTATACACAAATAAGAATAACTTTGGTAGGATCTTTCTTATCATGGTAAAGAAGCTACAGTCATTCTGTGATATTATGCAAGACATCCTAGCCCTCTCTAAGTGCTTAATAGCATTAATACCAAGGTAAATTTAATATTAAACAATACTAGTATTCAATTGTGGTTTCAGGTATATGTATACTTTTTTTTTTTTTTTTTTTTTGAGACAGTGTCTTACTCTGTGCAATGGCCTCGTCTTAGCTCACTGCAACCTCAAAACTCCTGGGCTCAAGCGATCCGCTTGCCTCAGCCTCCTGAGTAGCTGGGACTACAGGCATGCACCATCACAACTGGCTAATTTTTCTGTTTCTTGTAGAGACAGGGTCTCACTCTTGCTCGGGCTGGTCTTGAACTTCTGGCCTAAAGTAATCCTCCCACCTCGATCTCCCAAAGTGCTAGGATTACAGACCTAAGCCACTACGCCTGGCTGTGTATGTATATTTGTATAAGAAAAAAGGGAAAATCCTAGCTGGTTGATTTGATTTTATTTTTAATTGATGGAGTAGTGCTGGGTTGTGGTTTTGTAAGAGGCTTCACCCTGTGGGCTAACATCCTTCTTCCCTACCCAGAGTCTTAGAACCTGGAAAGTCTCAAGTGATCCTGATGTACTATACCCTTGAGATGGGGAATACTTTCAGAAAAAATTTACCAATCTCTTGCTTCCTTTCTGAGTACTGTCATTGCTGATATTCAGGTCTACATTATGTTGGAAGGAATATTTTGTGGCGTGCATATAGACATAATCGATTGGCTAGTTTAAATACATATTTTCACTATTCTGTTTTATATTCTCTTGATAACTTGAACAGTGAGAAGTGAAGATTAACTTGCTCAGAGTGATCATCTACATGTTGAATTTACAAAGAATGGTGTTGATTTCCTATTAGATAAGGAATGATGTCCTAATGAAATACTGTGTATACCTATAAGAAACAGGTTTGCTGAGTGCAGGAGAAGCAAATCCAGTTGTCACTAAGGGTTGAAAGTACTACAAATTTCTTTGTCACTAATCCCATATTGGGCATATGATGGTAGAACATGGTAGTTATAATCTATTTGGATTCTGTAACATTTATTAAATCTCTTCACGTGCCTTCTACCCAACTGTTAATTTAGTGATTTTTTTCCACATATCCAACATGCCTAGACAACAAATAATAAGAATATAGGAATTTCAGCTGGTTTTAATGTTGTTTTGAAAAAGTGTTTATATTTAAATCAAAGGTGTTTTTAGAATATTATTCTCACACCTCTTTATTTTCATAGTTTATACTGAACTTTATGGATTAGAAAATATTTTTAGGCAGGGTGCGATAGCTCACACCTGTAATCCTAACACACTTGGGGAGGCTGGAGCAGCCAGGATCACCTGAGGCCAGGAGTTCAAGACCAGCCTGAACAACACAACATGACTCTTGTCTTTACAAAAAGTAAAAATTAGCCAGACATGGTGGCGTGCACCTGTAGTCCCAGCTACTCAGGAGGCTGAGGTAGGAGGATCACCTGAGTCAGGAGTCAGAGTTTGCAGTTAGCTATGATGATGCCACTGCACTCTAGCCCAGGCAACAGAGCAAGACCCTGTCTCAAGGAAAAAAAAAAAAAAAAAAAAAAGATACCATTGTTCCTGGTGATCAGCAGTTAGGAAAAAAAATAAGTTAATAGAAAAATATTTTTAAACACTATGGTAAAGCATACTTATTGTAAGTAAGATCTGTATGCTATATTTTTTATAGAATTTAATAATTATGGAAGTATTATAAAACAATATACTTTTAAAACTGTTATACATGTCTAAATTAGGTAATGAGTATTTGATATAATTTAATAATTAAAATTCGAGTCAATCTGTTTTCTTGTAACAAATGGACAATCTTGTTTACTAAAACTTTTATTCATTGTGTGTCTCGAGTCTTTTTCTGGAAAATGCCATTTAGAGAAATGTAAAGAACATATAAACAGTATGGGTAGAAAGTCTGTCTTTTATAGTCATATATTGTTAAAAATCCACAGAAACCAGGTATTTCCTCATTTTAATGGAATTATTGCTTGACTAAAGCACTTGACAGCATTAGATGAAATTATTTTAAAAATTTGTTCTAAACTATTCATTTGGGGTGTATGTGTGTGTGTATGTGTGTGTAGAGGGTGAATGGAGAAGAGAAGGTATAGTTTGCTAGGGTTCTTAAGAATACCTTTTATCATTAGCAAACCTTGTATTTTTAAATAGCTGAGTTTTTCCTCTCAACAAATATTCAAAATAACACTGATAGAAATCCTATATTTTAGTAATATTTTTTCCATCTTACTGTTAGGTCTTCAAACATGAACTGGCTTACTTACTGACTGGAATTCTTGGAGCGGCAATAGATTATTGGATTTTCCTTGGACTTAAGATGGGTAGAAATGTGATGCGACACATGTCTGATGACTTAGGAAGTTATATTTCTCTTTCATGTGATGGTAAGTGTGTCCATGTTTTGTTTTTCCTAGACCAATCCTGGAAAGTAGTTTTGAATTTCTTTTAAGCAATCTGTAATTTTTAACATATGTTCATATGAAGTTTTTCTTAAATTAGTTATGGATATATACACATACACAGAGACAATATAAAAAAAGAAGATAAAAGTTACTCATAATGCGCCTACACAGATAACAACTGTTAACTTTTTAGTGTCTTTCTGGTGTTTCTAAGCATTTTTATATAGTTGAGCTCATACTGTATGTGTAATTTTGTGTTCTTATTTTCTTCTAAACATTACAAGAGTCTTCCTCCCACATACATTATTTATTATTCAAATGTATTTTGCTGATTTCATAAAAATTAAATATTAGGTGATAGTACAGAAAATACTATCTGGAATTGAGTTATTATATGTTTATATATAATATTATGTTTTCCTTAATCCTACAGTTAAAAATTATAATTAGACCATCTTTTACGAGTAAATATTTGACTAGACAAATTTAAAATCAGTTTATTCCCTTTTCATTGGAGAGATAGGTTCACTTTTTTATGTACAGTTTTTAGAATCTTACATGTTAAGAGCAATTTTCAATACCTTTAACATTGCTAATCATTCAAGCTGAATAGAAAGCATTATCAATTTCCAGTCTTATGTATGCCATGTGAACAATTCCCAGGTCTTTTCCTGCATGAACACTTAACATCATTAAAAAATGAAATTCACTGAATCAGAATACTTATGTTATAAAGCCACTTGTATTAAAAATTTGGATTATATCTCTGGTTAAAACATTTTCCCTATGTACCTATTGCTGTGTAATTTTTCTTATTATAACATAAAGAGCCGTTACTATTTTTTTCCACTGCATCTGGTGCTCTAACAAGAAATGAGCATGGATGAAGCAAATAGAAGTAATTTATATTCATAATTTTCTCACTCTTCCTCTTCCCCCTCCCCCATTATCTACTTTAATTTTAAAACTTCCCCTAAAATAAGTGCAGTAAAGAGTAAGTATTATTTAAGCAATGTGATGACAGAACTCATTTTTACAGTGTTCACCTTGGAAAAATTCTGTTCATCTCCTTTGGGTCTCCAGACTGAGAGGGGCTTCCAAAAGACCTATGTACATTCCCAAGCTTAATAGCCAGTTTAAGAAGAATCTGTCTGCCTTCCTTCCTTTCTTCCTTTATTTATTTCTGTAATCCTAAATTCCTGAAATTAACACATTTTTTAAACCAAGTGAGCTTTTTGTGGTCTTCAAATATGAAAGATGATTTTTATATACTTAATCATCAACATTTTACACTGCCAAATAAATATTCTATTTTGTTACACGTATTTCAGTACATCTGGATTTTATATAAAGAAAAAGTTCTTGAATATGCTGTCAATCACTTTGATACTTTGAAGAGAGATTCCAGAATAGGAATTCAGATTATAACTGGGTTCAGGATTTATTCAGTGATGCCCTCTGCAAAGAGAGGTCTCTTTTTATACTATCTAAGTTAGAAGATTTTTATCTTATTTCTTTTTTTCTTTTTCATTGAGCTGAGGGGGTGATTACTGTTCCTTTTGTGGACTAGCTGTCCTTTGTTGCATGACTTTTTAACATTTCTTAGCTCAAATTCAATCTTCCTTCAGAACCCTTTCTTATTATTTCTTTCCCACCATTCCTACTAGATAGTTTGGTGTTTTTTATCCTCTTTGGAAACAGCAGAATTCCGGCATTATTTGCTAGAATGAGACCTGAATATTTGCCTAACAGAATTCCCTGTTTTCCTTCCATAATGAAATTTCTTTGAATTTGGAGACCCAGTACAGGATTAGCAGTGGCTTTAGAGACTATCAGTATAGTTGTCTTTCTAATACATAGCAATGGCATTTAAGGAAATATAAGTCATCTAATAGTTTAGACAATTGCATAAAATAATGATGTTGTATTAAAAAGGATCTACTACGTGTTATACATCAGCTTCAGTGCTTTCTTTACTAAATTTCCCTTACCTTAAAGCAAGGCCTGGTTATCCTGTGTTGTTCCCCATTTTTACATGACAAGTTTAAGCCCTAGAAGTTTGAGCTTGTGACTGACTTCAGCTAAAACTCAACCTCAGTGATACTGTTATAATCCTATTGACAGACTGATTATTTTGCTTCCAAGGATCTATGTTTGATCACTAACATCTAAAACTGTATACGAGATTTAAATTATATCACTGTTGAAAAGCATGATTAAGCCTTTCCTTATCCTTCTCAAAACACACACATACAGAGTTGGTTCCTTAGGCTTCAAATGAGGCTGTAGTTAGGCAATTTAAAATTTTTTAACATATATTTCTAAAAATTGTTCAAATAAGTATCTTTCTAATTTTTCTCTGTTAGTATAGCTTGATGTTTAACCTTTGTCAAGAGATAGAAATCAAGTAAACAGTCTATCCTTAAGAGAACAGTAGCTTTTCTATAACTAATATGCAAAATTAAAGTGTTTTATTATGGAGTTTGTAGAATACCACACTTTTCCCTACAAGTGAACTAGATGTTGCAGTAATGTCCTTTTTGTCCGTATTTTGATAAAGAAATTTGAAAATCATTTTTGCCACCTCTTTTATTTCAATTCTTTTTCTCTGTGGATAGTTCCTCCTTTTTTTTTTTAATAAGTATTTTTCAACTCAGTCACAAAGTTTCACTTTTCTAAGTCATTAGTAAAGATGTCATGATTTGGCTGTTATATAACTTCCAGTTGAAGATACTGGTCCATCTTTCTCATTTATGGTCACCTGGATGTTTTGGTGTTTCCTAGTTTGAAAATACAAAATTAATTACTGTGGCACTACTCACATTCAGATCTATCAAATTAATAGTGTACTACAGTTTATTATTTATAATTGTTTTGTCAAGAATTAAGACAATAGATATTTTAGAAGATAAGTAAAATCGTTTCCACCAAATGGCGTGTCCACCAATTCCACATAGATGCCATTCTTTTTTGCTTCTAAACACTTTGGACAGGAGGAATTTCCTTTCTGTATTTTAAGGTTAGACTATCTGAAATCCCTTTTTTATGCTTAATTGAATTCCTTATTATTGGCTTAAAGTATGGATCAGCAAACTTTTTTTTCTTTTTTATGTGAAGTACCAGATAGTAAATATTTTTGGTGTCTTAGACCCTACAGCCTCTGTCTCTGCTACTCAACTTGGCAGTTGTAGCTAAAAAGCCACCACACAATAATACATAAACAAATGATCATGGCTGTATTCTAGTAAAACTTTATAAAGGCCAAGCATGGTGGATCATGCCTGTTTATCCTAGCACTTTTGGAAGCGAATCTGGGAAGATTACTTGAGGCCAGGAGTTAGAGACCAGCCTGAGCAACATAGCAAGACCCCATCTCTACACAAAATTTTTTTTTTAATTAGGGTATGCTGATATGCACCTGTAGTCCTGGGCATTCTGGAGGCTGAGGCAGGAGAATTGCTTGAGCCCAGAAGTTCGAGGTTACAGTGAGCTATGGTGATGCTACTGCGCTTTAGCCCAGGCAACAGAGGAAGACCCTCTATCTCAAAAAAAAAAAAAAATTCATAAAAACAGGCAGCAAGTCATAGCTTGCCAGTCCTGACTTAAACTTATTTCTTTTCCTATTGTTTCAGTGGGAAAAAAAAACATGTCATCAAAATTTACTATTATATAATAGTTTTCACATCTTTAGAGAACTTTAATAAAGCTTCCTTTGCCCTTAAATTACATCATTGTCTTTTCCTGATAAAAGTACATTTTCACACTATTCGCTTTTGCTTTCTCTATTCTTATCTCTTTCCATGCTTCAAACCTCTTCCATAAATTTAAGTTTTTATATCATTACTGATTCTCAGTCAAAATGTTTCTGTTTTTTTCATTCAACAAATTTTTATTGGCATTCTACCAGTCATTGAGCTAAACATTTTTATATACAGTGGAGGAGGGAACCAAAACATAGTCCTTGGTTTTTTTGGAGCTTTCAGTGGGAGAGGCAGACTGTTAAACTAATGTAAATACATCATTTAAAAATGATAAGTACTCAAAACAAGAAAATCTAGGTGTTGAGATTGGTGCACTTACTTTATATTAAGTGATTATGGAACACAGAACCTGAAGTAGGAGTTTAGCAAAGTCAGGGCAGAGTGTTTTTGTCAGAAGACAACATTTACCAAAACTCTGGGGTAAGAAAGTGTCCTATGGATTGGGATTTTTTATTCTTTAATTATCATTTCGTTGTACTATCCACTCTGTAGCTTATACAGAGTATTAATAGAGAATTTGTAACAATAAATAGATTACATGGGAAATGGTCTAGTCCTTTAATCACTTTCAATTCAAGTGTATATTTATGTATGTTCATCTTATTGGAGCACTTGAGGTTTCTGGATAAAAGAGAGTTGACGCTCTTGTGTGGTTTTTGCTTCATCATTTAGAATAATCCCCTACCCACACCCCCATAGCACAGCAGGTGCAAACTGCTAAGAAAATCTTTATGTACACTCTTGTTTTATGTTTTTCTTCCTCTTTGCCTTGTGCCTTTCCTCCTTTTCTGCAATGATAGGATTCATGTGTGTTGTCGGGGGAAGCAATGTGCTTTCTTCCTATCAGCTCAAGACTGATTATTACAAATTAAATGCACGTGTGCTCATTTAAAAGCTAAGTACTGGTTTTCCAAAGGAACAACCCTATTTTGGGAAGAGATCTTTAATGTTAATTGGAAACTATAGTGATAAATAAAATCCCATGTCTATATATGTATTCATATGTTATCTATTCTGTATATATCTAATTTCAAGATTTGTATTTGAAATAATCAAAACGAATGATTGTTTTTTAAATGTGAGGACATGTATCATTAAAAATGTTTTCTTGAAAGGCAACGAATAGGAATATTACCTAATTTTTGTAGTTAAAATCATGTGGGTGACTCTTACTGGTATAGGAAAAATATCATTTGACTGAATAAAATCCACTGAGGAAACAACCTGTAGAAAAAGGTTTTATAGGATGTAGCAATAACTATATTTACTTGTTTTACAGACTTTTCTTCACAGGAATTAGAGATTTTCATTTGCTCCTTTTCCTCCTCCTGGCTTCAAATGTTTGTTGCAGAGGCAGTCTTTAAAAAGTTGTGTTTACAGAGCTCCAGCGGTGTTTCATCTGAACCACTTTCCCTTCAGAAGATGGTAAGTACCACTCTATTCTAGTTCTTTTAATTTTCAAGAAGTGAGTTCATAAATTCAATTTTAAAATATTCTTAGTTATTTCTAATAAGTGGACTTAAAATATTCATAAATCTTTCAAATCTGTATAAGAGCTGGTATTATTCTACCTCAAAAATAGAGTTATTAAAGCCCAGTGCAGTGGGTACATGCCTGTAGTCTCAGCTACTTGGGAGGCTGACATAAGAGGGTCACTTGAGCCCAGGAGTTCAAGGCTACAGTGCGCTATGATCATACCTGTGAATAGACCCTGCACTCCAGCCTGGGCGACATAGTGAAATCCCTTCTCTTAAGGAAAAAAAAAGTAATGAAATCACTGAATAGAAATTTTAATTACTTTTGAGAGTAATTAAGGTTTGATAACAGAAAAATAATATAAGGATCTTTGTTTTCTAGTCACTTGCCATAGTACATAAGATTATTATTTTGGAAAGAGCTCAATCCAGAGATGTTTTGCATGGTATTTAATGGTATTTAAAAAGCAAAATATTGACCGGGCATGGTAACTCATGTAATCCCAGTACTTTGGGAGCCAAGGTGGGAGGATCACTTGAGGCCCAGAATTGAAGACCAGCTTGGGCAACATAGCAAGACTCCATCTCTACATGATAATTAAAAAATTAGCTGGGCATGGTGGTGCATGCCTGTTGGCCTAGCTACTCCAGAGGCTGAGGCAGGAGGATCACTGGAGCCCAGGAGTAGGAGGTTGCAATGAGCTATGATCAGGCCATTGCATTCCAGCCTGGGTAACAATGAGACCCTATCTCTAAAAGATTTTTAAAGAATAAAATAGAAAGCAAAGCATTATATACATTTATACTGCATTTGATCCCAGGTTTTCCAGTTTTATCTTGAGTATCTTTAGATGTAAGTAATATCTAATATCTGTAGCAGTTTCTTCAACAAATGAGAAATGCATTTGTTTATTGGTCAGATTGAGCAAATTCTATTTTGCAATGATTCTTATGTTTAAGGACGTTATCACTCCTTATTCTGTGTATTCCAGGCTTGTTTTCTGGTGAAGAAAGGCATTATCAAATGGAAATCACAAAAATACCAATTGTACATAAATCGTACATATAAAAAATTTACAAATGCATCATAACAAATTGGGCATACAGCTAATCAAAAGAACTTGCCTAAATGAGCATCAAAATCGAATTAGAAAAAATAATTATTTTCAAGAATGTGTTTTTCTTCTTCATGGTATTAACTTAATGACATGGAACTAGCTTTTTTAATATTTAATCATGTTCAAACAAAATAGTGTGGCAACCATAGTGATGAAATCAAGAAAATATAACCATATTTAATGGTGAAATGAATCAAGTAATTTCTTTTTATTGCCTTCTTTGTAGTTGTGAAAGCAATATAATATTATTTTGCAACAGGTATATTCCTATTTGCCAGCTTTGGGGAAAACTGGTGTTCTTGGGGCTGGAAAGATGCAGATACCAAAGAAAATAGGACAGCGGCCTTGTTTTGAATCTCAGAGAGCTTTACTAATGCTGAATGGTGCTAAACAGAAACAAGTCGAAGGGCTGCCAGAGTTAACGTAAGTGATGCTGATATTCCAACTGGGCTTTGTTCTGGCGTACAGCTTTTTTTCCCCAACATAATTCTTGAACTTTATGGTTATCTATGGTACTGTCTGAATTATATTGATTAGGAAAAAACTCAGTTTTAGATCTATAATTAACCACGATCAACATTTTCTCTTTATGTAATTCGAGGTACATGCTTTCTTTCTATTAAGTACTTCCTGAAAGAACTAAAACTGTTCAGCAAATTATTGTTTTATACAGTTTTTACCCTATGATTTGAATTATTAATTTTCCATAATATAGATGGGATTTCAGAATGTGCAGGCATGTGAGACACCCTAACTTGTAATAGCTTTCCCAAAATGAGTAAGCCTCTAAAGTTTGCTGTATAAAACTCAGAAAGCATGAAATGTTCTCTGAGAGGAAGAAGAGAATAGGATCAGAATATGAAAATAAGAATAGGGAGCAGAGGCCTGCATTCTGATCTTAGCTTTCTACTTTATTCTCTCTGCCAAATATGATGTACATGGTCTTTTTCTCTTCCTCTTACATTCTATATTGATAAACTTAGTGGGCAGTTGGGGGTGTGACTAATAAGATGAAAATTGGTACACTAGAATTCGTTTCTGTACAGTTAAATTTTAAAATTAGAAAGCAGTAAAGATTGAATGAGTAAGGGGGTTTAAATTAAAAAAGGCTAAACTTAAAAAAAGTCACCGTCTAATATATGCTAGCACGCCTTGCTGAAAAACAAGCTTTCATTATTTCTTACTTTTCCTTTCAGAGACCTGAACCTTACTAAATGTTCCTCATCTTTAAAAAAATTGAAAAAGAAGTCAGAAGGAGAATTGTCATGTTCCAAGGAGAATTGCCCCTCTTTAGTTACAAAGATGAATTTTCACAAGACAAATCTAAAAGGTATTCCAAGTATCTAAATTAATTTATGCTAAGAACTTTTCATGGTCGTAGTCAATACTTGCAAGTTTCACACATTTGCCCTGATGAATACTTGAACTTAAATATTGGACTAGGTCCAGGAAATACCTTCTTGGTTAGCATATTATTTTCTTGAACTGTCATTTATACAAAGAAAGTGATTGTTTAATACCCCAGTATAATAGAGTATTCCTCCCTTTCTTTTCTGCCCCTGCCTTTCCAGATATGAAACACAGTATAACTCTCATTGAGCTCATTCCAGACTTGCCCGCCTTACTTTTCTATTCCTCAACCTGTGCTGCTTAGGATCACTGTCTTCTGATTTGAAAGTATAATTCAGTCTTCATCTCTTTCAGTCCTAGACATTTTGTGAACAAAGAATGAGGAGTAGGCTATGTTACATAGCTGTGTTAAGCATATGGGCTCTTTTCTTCCAGGCACTGAGCCCAGACTATGAAATGTGTTTGGCTTTTGGTTCTAACTATACTGGAACCTAAGTACCTAAAGGGTGGAATAACAAGAATAGTGTTGTAATAATTCCCTCTGGTACTTTTTTTACTTAGACACCTCTTAACTCACAAATTTAAGTTGTCTTCCAAAAGTCTATACCTGGCCAAAATAAATTACTAAGTCTCTTTTGTTTGAGTTATATCATGTTTTTAATACAGATATTAACATTATGACACTCATGGAAATAGAGATAGTGAAGCCCTTATAATCTTTTAATATAAGTTCATAATTGCATGCCACAAATTTAAAGTAACTGCCCATTTAACTCAAAATATGAAAAATATATTAGGTGAAAACTTATATTAATTTCACAAATCAGTATCCTTTCTCTTTGTTTAATAGTTTCAAAAGGTAAATTGGATATGAATGACTTTAAGCTGAACAGCAGAAAGAACTGGGAGCGAGGAAGAAAATTGAGAAATAATAAGAGTAAAACTTCAAAAGCTTTTTTATGCATGTAAAAGAAATGTTTTGGTAGAAGTTACAGAGAGATAATCTATAAAACTGAACACTATCAAAATGTGCTACTTAGTATTTTATAGCAAGAACAAATTTGATTCAGTATTCCATTTTGTTTCCTAAGCAGTCACTTATACTGTTTTAAAAAAAATTCCCCTTAAATTATCATTTATATCTTATTAATCTTGGTTATACAGAGATGGGTATAGACAATTTTAGCCAGCAGGCACTAATTGTGTCCCTCCTAGTAAAAACCTTGCCATTCTATTTGTTACTCTTGTTCAGCTTTAAATGGTACTAGGGATTTTTTGCGGTGAGTGAGTGATGTGTGTGTGTGTGTGTGTGTGTGTGTGTGTGTGTGTGTGTGTGTATGTGTGTGTGTGTTTATATTAAGATTCCTCCATTTCTCCCTCTCTGTGCTGCTGTAGCCAAGCCAGACAGCCTATTGAGAAGCAGCAAACCATCTGTTAATGGATTTGAAGTTCTGAATTATACTTGAGTGTGTAGAGGCACTCGTGCTTAGCCAGAAACATTCATTTGAATTAAGCTATAAATGCTGTATAAAAAAGAGCCATACATTTAACGTAGGTTCATGAATACATTTAAGAGAGGGCAATTGCACTCTAAACTTTTATTGCTGCAAAACCCAGTATTTTTGGTGTTCTCTGATCATTTGGGGGTTTTATAGCAGGATTGAAGCTTTAAACCATGAACTAGGGGGAGACAATGCCTGTGTTAAACCTTTTGCCGTAGAATTTCATTGCTGAATTGCTGATAGAACAGAACAGAAGCTCTATGGAGTGATGGGGTTCCCTCCCCTCCCCCCCTTTTTTAATGCAAGAGATGTTTAAACCAGTCAAAAGGAAAACTCAATAAATAATTTTATGGCATTGGGCCAGATCTCCTAGTTCATGCCCTTTGATTATTTTCTTTAGTTGATATCTTGTCTTCTCTGGAATAATCTATTAATTTTTTATGGCAGGAGAAACAGCCCTGCATAGAGCTTGCATAAATAACCAAGTGGAGAAATTGATTCTTCTTCTCTCTTTGCCAGGAATAGACATCAATGTTAAAGGTAAGTTTTAAATCTTTATGGTCTAATCTAGTGTCTTAATATTTGTGATATTAAATAGTTTTATGTCACATTAAGAAAAATTATTTAAGTAAATTTACCTAAGATATCTTTAAAATATTGCCATTCATAGATTGATTTATAGCTAATGGTATAGGAACATTTTTTGGTGTCCATATTTTGGTAATATCCCAACATTAATATATTAAAATTGTTTTTATTTGTTTCATTTTTCTTAAAAGTAGAAATATGATTACACCCTTGGCATTTTAATCAAAGCATTCTTTTTGTAGATGAAGTATCTAGAAAGTCACACTGATGAGAGAAGTAGAACATCAATACTTTACTACCAAAAGTCCTACTTCTGCTGTTTTAAAACTTGCCTTGATTTCTAATTTAGACAATGCTGGCTGGACGCCTTTGCATGAAGCCTGTAACTATGGCAACACAGTGTGTGTCCAGGAAATTTTGCAACGTTGTCCAGAGGTAGATCTGCTCACTCAAGTGGACGGGGTGACTCCTTTGCATGATGCACTGTCAAACGGACATGTAGAAATTGGCAAGCTGCTACTACAGCATGGGGGTGAGTGCATTTATGCTAAACGGGTTTTGATAAATTATCCAATTTTTTGATGAATCCCTCAGAGGTAGATAGCATTTTATATTTAAAATCTGTAAGAAAAGATGCCTTTATTTCATATCCATGAAAAAGTAAGGATAAAAAGTCTCTCAGAATATAAGCACCTTTTTTTGTTAGTAGGGATAAAAGCCTTTTTATAATATATATATATATTTATTTATTAAACTTGTTTACCTTCATTTAGAGGAGTGTATTTTTGAATTGGGTGTGTTATTTTTAAATATTAATCTTTCTACTTCAAGTGTGTAATGTCTTTGTGAACCAATCGTTTCTGAAAGCTTAATGATAAATAGATATAAATGTTTAATTGTGATTACTTGGATTTTTTTCATTCTTGTTTCATTTCCTGTATATAATTCAATTAATCTTATTTTTATGAGTCATTTCTTTACAGACTATAAAAAGGATATCCCAGAATATTTTTCTTCATTCACATTTCATAGTCAATTAAGTTAAAGTAGGAGGATTTTCAAATGGTAATAACAGTTGTGGCAGGGGTTTTGTGAAGGAAATAACTTGAACTGAAATATTTATCTGTTTTTTCTGCTAATTTTTGATCTTTGCTTTCAGCAAGCCCCCTCCTTATCAGTGACATTCTTATATCTGAACTGAATAATATAAATTTTACATCAAAATATTCAAAACTGATTTGTGTTTTAAAAAGAAAACTATTGACTAGCTTTTAATATAGAAATTATTTGCTTTTATTTGTATTGGTTTTAACTTGGAATTTAACCTGATCTTACCTTGTCATTAAAGCATTTGATTCCACAGGAAAATAAGAAGCATATTTTCTTTACATGTCTTTTTACTATATATGCATCTAAGAAAGACTGTATAGCGTGGTAGTTTAAGACATTTGGTTATATATAGTCTTCTCCTGCCCCCTAAAGGCCTTAGTGTGTCTGTTTTACTGACATCATTTCTTAGTCAATATATTTTTCAGTTCTTCTACCTTATTTTTTAGTATTATATGCTTATCCATACCGTAAGTTCTACCTCCTAAGTGTTTTATTTTTCTACTCAACCATGTATCTGACATTTAAACTAATATTTGGTTTTGCTTCAAATGGTCTATAAATGATGTAAGAGCCATTGTTGTGTTAAGTTCAGCTCTTCAGTAGAGTACGGCATTATACCAACCAATGTGAATTTTGCTAGGGCCCTTAGTGGAGAATAGGAAATGTGTGTGTTTCTCATCCTAGAAGAGGAAATCTACTTGTGTTTGTATTTATCAAGGTCCCTTAGCAATTGTACAGACTTGTTTTTGCCTTTGTCATATTCTGGGTTTGGACTTGTCAAATGGTTTGACACTATCATCTTAGTAACTGCATTATCTCTTCATTATGAGTCACTCAGTCTTGAGAGTAGTAATTTTAAGAATTTATTTACATCTCTAAAACTTTTACTTACTTTTGGTACCTTGTGTCTATAATTTTATTTTATTTATTTATTTTTTTGAGACAGAGTCTCACTCTGTTGCCCGGGCTAGAGTGAGTGCCGTGGCGTCAGCCTAGCTCACAGCAACCTCAGACTCCTGGGCTCAAGCAATCCTACTGCCTCAGCCTCCCAAGCAGCTGGGACTACAGGCATGCGCCACCACGCCCGGCTAATTTTTTCCATATATTTTTAGTTGTCCAGATAATTTCTTTCTATTTTTAGTAGAGACGGGGTCTCACTCTTGCTCAGGCTGATCTCGAACTCCTGACCTTGAGCGATCCACCCGCCTCGGCCTCCCAGAGTGCTAGGATTACAGGCATGAGCCACCGCGCCCGGCCTATTTTATTTTTTTAATAGGAGTAACTTGGAGTATATTTCATATTTTTGAGATGTCAGCACAATGGAAAGGAACCCTAATTTTGATTTAGAATTCTTTTTTCCATAAATTACACACTAATCATATATTGTCAATGGTTGATCTTTTATATTAAATATATTTTATATCTAGGCCACTATATGTCTGATCAGAGTCGTCATTAAGAGTTTTAGCAGTTATATTCTGTTCTCGTTCTCTGACAAAATGATCTATGTTATAATAGTAAGACCTTCTAATTATGTCTGCTAGTACTAAAACCTTTATGTCCTCTGTAACATTTTTATGACCAGGTACATAAATAGTTACAAGATTTGACTGATGAAGGCACAAAGTACTTCTGTATTTTGCTTTGTGACCAAATACTGAGTCATTATTGTTTTGCCCCTCCCACATCATCCTTTAGTACCTAGGGGATAAACTCTATCTGCAGTACTTTCTAAGTAGTTAGGTAGGTTTAACTAGGACAGATGGATGGGTCTTATTCAGTGGAATTAACATGTAACTTTTGTAAATCAGTTACCTGTACTAAAAATTGAACATAGCAAGGGTAAAATGGAAAATGTGTTCTCTGTCTATACAAGGTTTTGTAGTCTTTGCACTGCCAGAATCACTTATCAGCAATGGAAGGGGCATTGCTTTTTCCTCTTAGTGATATTATAAGACACCTTTAAGATGCTCACACAGAGTTTAAGATGAATATATTTTGTTAATTTTTTCTGAAAACACTGAAATTCCTATTTTAAGATGCCAATTGATCAAGTTTTATAAATGCTTTTTTAAATTTATAGTTATATAATTTATTTAACTAAGTAAGGCATGTACTTTTAGGCAAACCTTATTAGGCAGTTGACTACAATTTTGTTTTTTTTTAAATGTACCTTTATAAGTCAATATATAGCCAGCCACTTACGTCAACATGAATTCATGAAGAATATGATTGTAAACAGAGATAAACAGAGCTCTGGATGCTTTGGGAAAAAAGAGAGAAGAAAACAGCTGTTAAGGTGCCAAAATAAAAATGTTTTACTCTTAACATTTTGCATTTTCTTTTTCACAGGCCCAGTGCTTTTACAACAGAGGACCTCTAAAGGGGAATTGCCCTTGGATTATGTGGTGTCACCTCAAATCAAGGAAGAACTATTTGCTATTACAAAAATAGAAGATACAGTGGAAAACTTTCATACACAAGCAGAGAAACATTTTCATCACCAGCAACTTGAATTTCGTTCATTTTTACTTAGTAGGATGCTGCTAAATTTTTGTTCAATTTTTGATTTATCTTCAGAGTTCATTTTAGCTTTCAAAGGGATAACTCATCTAAATGAACTGCTTATGGCTTGTAAAAGTTATAAAGAAACCACTAGTGCTCATACTGACTGGTTATTGGATCTTTATGCTAGAAATATAAAGACATTGCAGAAGCTCCCAAATGTTCTTAAGGAACTGCCTGAGAATTTGAAAGTATGTCCTGGAGTACACACTGAGGCCTTATTGGTAACACTGGAAATGTTGTGTCGATCAGTCACAGAGTTTTCATGATGGTGCTAAAAAGTATGGATCAACTTACTAAACCTGTTCAACTTGTATTGTCACTTATTATGGACTTCATAGTTTATTGACAAATTTTAATTTATTTATTGACAGACTTGGCAGCCTTGCTGAATTTTAAAAGCACTTTTAAAAGAACTGCAAAACTGTAGTATCAACCTCTGACTTTTTCCAGTGTGTAAAATTTGACTCGAGTAAAAATAGTTTTGTTTAGTATATACTAGCTTCATTGATCTTTTTTTGTTCTGAAAGTGATATTATTTATCCATCGTACATGTAAAAAATTAATTTAAATATTTTTTCAAATCAAAGTGTAATCCCTTTATTTTTTGGTGTTCTAGGTCTTAGAATCATGACAAGGATACTCACACAAATGTGTACCTATAAACATGTAGCTCCCTATTTCTTCTCTATAGGATGTTGGGCTAAAATATGCATTTTAGTTTTGTGTTTCTAAAATAAACATTTCTAAGATTTACAATAATTAATATTCTTTTGGTTTCTAAATGCAGTGAATATGCAAACTCTGACAACTCAATCCCTTGATCTGTTTTGTTTTAGTAGTTCATGTATAAGGTGTATTATTGCTCCATGTAACCAATATTGTGTAAGTGAAAACATTCTGCTGCATAAGTTTTATTAAATATTAAGATTATAAGTGGCATCTAAGTAATAGATTTGAGATTATTTAAAATCATAATGTGCAGTATGAATTTACAGAGTAGTAATGTTTCAATTTGCAGTTTTTTCCTAATAGCAGTTTATATTAAAACTAAAAGAAAGGGTATGGATAATAACCACTTTTGAAATTGAAGTTGCTTCACTAGTGGGAATAAGTTACATTGTGATACAGCTGGAAAGGAAATATTAAAACTTCCATTTAGTTTTTATATAACTAAAGCAATGACTTTACAGCAATTACTCTGCTAAAGAAGCACACTTCACTTTTATCTTTTTAACAAGATACAAATGCTCAATTATATTACTGGGCTTATAATGTAAATTGAAAACTACATTAATATAAAAAACATTTTCAAATAAGTAATTTTTTACACACACTGTAAGAAATATTGTTTCTATTTTGTCTTCAAATTTGACATTATGCAAATTCCTTATTATTTACTTAATCTGCCAAAGTATCAGAACATGACATAGCAGAAACTATCTAAGGGTAGTTTAAAAAAGCTCAATCAGGAGTAAAGTGCTTCTCCTGGGTGATGAATAAGAACATTTTTATTCCAAGGAGTACCACTTTACTTCGTTTGTAAAGCCATCTGGGATCATGTTTGCTTAGTAAACTAATATAACCTTATAAACATAGGTTTTGACATCAGACACAGTTTCAAATCCTTCTCTAGTTTCTTAATAACTAAATTACAAAGCAAATTCTTTTCTGAGCTTTGGTTTTCTTACATGTAAAATGGAAAAAACACTAAATATCTTTGTCATGATAGAATTAAGTTAGCCTATCACATTATATGATACTTAATATTATTTCCTTTCCAATGCTTAACCTCTTCTTTTGGTTATAATGAATCATTTAAGCAAAAGACAAGATAGTAACCGCTTAAGTTGGCAGTAATTCTAAATTAATGTAATCAACATCATGAGTTAGGATTGTGCACTGTTAAGAAAAAGTTTTCTGAATTAGTTCATAAGAAATATTTGTTTAGTTGCATTTAACGTTAATATTTCATAATTGACTTCTGTCTGCTTGCTCCTACAAGCGGTAATGATATGAAGTGTGAAACACTCAAATACCATTGAGGTTTCTGCCTTCAAGAAAGTATTGTTGCAGTTTTCAGTAAGTCCAATGTAGCAAACATGGGTTACTATGTTCTGGGCCTAGTTAACAATACCAGTAAGTAAGTATGAATTTAAACTTGCAATGAAAAACCTCTTTTCCAGTATTATTTCTTTTATTTTATTTTAGGCAACCTAATTGTTGCCTTATATCTATCATAGAGGTATAGGAAGAAGAAATTCCAAATAAATAAAATTTATTTTATAGTCTGAGCCCGAGCTTTTCAGTTGGAGACTTTTCAAAGTTGTAGTTAAGACAAGGCTGAGTAATCCTGTTCTTCATTGTACTCTGCCAGATATCATAGTTCCATGGAATTGTTAATAATAATTAAAAGTCTATAGAAACCCTTATTATAATAAATAAAGCCTTGAAAGGAGATTTCTGAGCAGTTAAGATTCAGCTTTTCCCTATGCAATGTTACTGGCAGTTTTTTGGAAAGGAACTTTTTGAAGTTAGCTTTCTGGGTTCATTTTTAATTTCACTATACAGAATAAAGTGGTTCAAGTGTATACATTTTCTGTCATTTTATTCTAAGATGGTCAGAAAAATATCATAAAAGTCAAATGTGATATTAATCATTGTTTTGAATTCAGTATTTCTTGAACATCTGCTGTAAACCAGGTGGTATGTTTGACAGGGGCTGATTATACAAGAAAAGAGGTCACAGTCTGGGAAGGTAAACTAGGCTTAAATATTGTGAGTGTTATTGTCTTTTATGTATGCTGTTGAAAAAAAATTTCAGTTTTGTATGTTTCTAAAATTTGAAGTAATAATTAGTGGTTTTAAACATGAATATTCAAGAGTTTGGTACTTTATTCCTTTCCTCAGTATTATTTTAGCAATTTTATTTTAAAGTGGATAGAATGTGGGGTGTAATTTTGCAGCCTTAATGAACCAGTACACATTCTTAGGCAAACACAAATGCATAATACTAGGATACTTTACATAAACTTCGGAAAATATTTGCTACTTTTGTTTATGCTGTTATAAAAGTTAAATGAATACCTTCACATGAAAAAAATTATTGGTAGAGTGTGCAATCCTTATGCCTTTTATACACCTTTCCAGTTAAGTGATGAACTTGATGAGAGCCTGTCACTGTTGCTTCTTAATCAGCAGGAAGGGGTCATTTTTGAGTGACATGAGGCACTCTTCCCCTCAGGCATTTATCACGTAGCTTTCACGCCAATTGCACCTTATGCTGATGTGGAGCTTGCAAAACTCGGAATGGTAATTGTTTTTATAACAAATGTGGATTGAGTTAGAAAGGTCAATGATGGAATTATTGGAATTAGACTGTGCCTGGTGATGTCAAAAACAGGAGACATGGAATAGTTAACTAGTTCTTTTAAATCAAATCATGTTATCAAAAAATTCACCTTGTAGGTTGGAATGATTTGTGGTAGGAGGATATATTTTGGTGGTTATTTGTTCTGATATAGATTTAGAGATTAATAGGCTATAAGTTAATTAGAAAAGATTGCAGTATTATTTTGCTTGTTTCTCAGCATATATTTTCGAGGTAATGCAGATCCTACTCAAAGACCTTTTCAAAGGAAACAAACATTTCACAAGATTTTAGGATCATTGATCATCAAATGTTTAAAAAGGGTTTGCCCTCTTATAGTAAATGCTAATCTTACAGAGCATCTAAAAAAAGTTTAATTCATGCTTTCCAGTTTGTGAAAACACCAAGCAACATAGACCCATACACTTCTTGGTTTCTTGAGCCCTATGAATTTATGTGAATTGTTGGAGGGGAAAAAGCATTCTATTAATTTGTTTAAAAAAGAGACTTGTTTCATTTACCAAGTACAAATCCAAATGATTAGCTTTTTTTAAGAGAAGAATCTGCTGTTTGGGAGTACTTTTGTGTTATAATCCATTTCCAATATTTTGTATAGTTAATTCTTTACTCATGAGTCTTTTTTTTTAGTGTAAGTATATAGTTTTGATCATAAATACACTGGTTTTTAAAAAAAAAAAAACTCAGTACAATCCTTAGCACTAGATACAAGTGATTTTTTAGAATGTTGTCTTTTTGCTATTGAAGAGATACACCTATACTTCCTCCCCTTTTTAAACAGAAGTATAGTGAACTCTTTCCTAGGTTTTTAAACTACTTGCTGAATTCAGATCCAACAGTATTAAGTTAGCAAAGTTTTTAGTGATCAGTTATCATGAAAACAATATTCCTAATAAAGTAAACATATAAATTATATGTAATATATTATAACATACAGTATTAGCCTTAACATAGACCCTAAATGCCCTTATTCAAGCATCTATAAATAGCCATCCTAAATTAGAATTAAAACATTTCCTCCAAATGTTTTGTTTTTGTATCATGGTCCCTAAATCTTTTTAGAACGTTGAACCTAGACTTGGTAGATCTTATCCTCTTCCCAAAGTGCCTAAGTTGGATCAAGATATAATGGATGTTAAACAAGAATAGAGAATGGCTCACTACTTTGGAATATATGATTTAGTTCTACCAAAGAAGAAGGTTGAAAAGAAATGTGTAGCACTTCCAGAAGGTACGTTGCACAGAACTGCAAATCTAAAATCCAGCTTTGAATTTACACTTATCATGCTATCATTTGTCTTGATAGTAGATGAACCAAAATTACCACTGCTTCTCTATTCTGTCCCAAAGTGAAATAAATAGTCATGTTGAAAAAAAAATCATTGATCTTAAAGTGGTGACAGATAGAACTTAGTTTGTTGTTAGTGACTTCTCAGAGGTTAGGTGAGCAATGGTTTATGTCATGACGCTTGATAAATTTTTCTAATGACCAGAATAGTTTGATTTATAATAGTTTTTTGTTTTCTAAGGAATATATTATATATCTTGAGTATCTGACTTCATCCTAAAAATGAATTTTTCTACTTTGCATTGTTTCTCTTTGACAACTAGAGACCAAATTATTGAGCAGTAAGTAAAATTTAGTAAAATTAAAATGTGTCTTAAAGAACTTACCATGAAAACTTAAAAGCAGAATTTTAAAGATGAAAACTGGGGAAAGAGATGAAGGGGAAAAAATGGCTAGGAATCACTGTGGTTGAAAGGAATCAAGAGATTAAGATTTCGAGGTATAGTTTAATATATTGATTGAAGTCAGTGAAGGTGTAAAGAAGAAGGCAAATAGACAAATATTAGGAATAAAATGTGTCTTTGGAAATTTTGAATAATATTCAATAAACTAAACCAAGGGTCTAGATAATTTTTTTGTAGAAGATTATTTTAGTTGAAATTCAATCAAAAAGAAGAAAATTCTAGGGTTTTTGGTTTTTGTTTGTTTGTCTTGTTTGTTTGAGACAGGGTCTCACTCTGTTGCCTGGGCTAGAGTGCAGTGGCATCATCATAGCTGACTGCAACCTCAAACTCCTGGGTGCCTGGCTCATTTTTTTATTTTTTTGTAGAGGTGGGGTCTCCCTTTTGCTTAGGCTGGTCTCTAACTCCTAGCCTCAAGTGATCCCCCTGCCTTGGCCTTCCAAAGTGCCAGGATTACAGGTTTGAGCCACCAAACCCAACCAAAATTTCAATTTT